AACAACAACAACAACAACAACAACAACAACAACAACAACAACAACAAAAACAACCAACAACAACAACAACAACAACAACAACCAACAACAACAACAACAACAGCAACAACACCAACACCAACACCAACACCACCACCACCACCACCACCACCACCACCACCACCACCACCACCACAACCACAACAACAACAACAACAACAACACATTACTTGGTGATCAAAGTTCATGTACTTTTGCTTACCCATGAGCAGCACCCACGGCTGAGGATATCTGACAGCTACTCTGACAGCTTTGTGACACAGCTTGCATTTCGGATTCCTGTGGATCTTCCTTCCTGCCGGTTTTCCTTGTCTAGAATCCCACCGGTTTTCCTATAACTGCAAAGGGTGGAGAAGCTGGCGGCTGTGGAGCCCAACCCTCTAAACGCTGAGGGTCGACGCAGTCTCCAGCGGTGCCGGGTTGTGTGTCAGTGTGGTGGGGGGCACTGGGTGCTGGTGAAGCAGGCGCACCAGATGGTGAACTCCTACTTCTATAATTGTTTCAAGGAATGTATCAAATCTCTGTTCAACAGTTCCAAGTCTCTGCAAAAGAGTCGTCAAGTACTGCCCCACAGCCCTCTGCACGTTGGGGCAGGAAGTGCAAAGGTCTGGCAGGCCCTCCAAGTCGCAGTACCTCAAACGCTGAAGAAGTTCCAAGGCGAAAGGAGGCTGAAAGCAACCAATGAATCTTGATCTGGAAAGGCCTATCAAAGACGTGATGTGACACAAACATACAGTAACCAAACACAGACACACACACACACACATACATGAAACTGAAACCTGCAAACCTGGCCAAGCTCTTGCTGCATGGACTTGTGCGAACTGCAAATGCCAGTCTGATCAGTCAGGTTTGCGTGCTGAATACCGCCAAAAACGCTACATCGAGCAGTTTCTGTCTTGAGCTAGAAGATTGCAATCATGCCGGCCAAAACAACCAGCCGGCGCGGATGGAAAAAAAAAACCTAGTCAACTCCGCTATGATGCCCAAAACACCATCAATCTTCATTTTTCCTGGTTCTGCAAGACTTGTTCTGCCAAAAGTAGCCGTGGTTTGCGTTCGATCTGCAGCTCACTGGACATTGAACTTGTCGGCATAGTTGTTGACCGCACCTGAGTAGCCCCGTCCATGTGCACACATGGCAACATTCCAGGCAAACCCTGGCTCTGCACAAGGAGCTCAACATCTGAACGTTCAAACCAGTCCGGTCAGGCTTCGCGGGCTTGGAAGACAACCCACACAAAAACACTCTCACTCTGGAGGCTACATCTTGCAGTTGAAGTCACATATCCCGAATCGTGAACTTGGTGGCATGCACATAGAATGGACAAACGTTTGAAGATGGAAAGTCGAACGGCTTGGCTTAACAAACCAATTTGGCTCAAAGAAAACCAACATCCATCAACACCTGGATCCTCACGCCTTGGGCAGCTCACCGAGTCGAATCCCACCTGGTTCGCTGCTCTGCCGCGTCCCCTTTTTGCACACAGCTGGAGCTCGGTAGCTCCACGTCCTCCTCACTGGCGCGGCTGGCCGCGGTGCTCAGCAGTCGTTGGCCCAGCTGGACGTGTTCCGCCAAGCGCTCGGAGCGAAGCTCCTCCTCGCGGTGGCATTCCTGGCAGGGAGTGGGTCGGGCGGTGAGGCCCTTCGTGGTGGTTTGGGAGCACCTAAAGCGAATGCTGTAAGCCCTGTAAGCATGTGAACACCATGAAAAAGCAGTGAACGATGATGATTGGCCTGAAGCGATGAAGAACGAAAGTCATCAAAGCATATGTCAGCAAAACTACGAAAACCAAGGAGAGAGAACGACAAGACATAAGAAAACAACAACACATGTGGACATGTTACCGTTCTCCTGCAGCTTTTGAACCAATCCTCTGTAGCACTCCTCGATCTGCTCCAGCTCTAATCGGAGAGTTGCAATCTCATCATGGTAAACTCGAGCCTTTTCGCCTGAAAAGGGGCCATCCACTCCAGCACCAAACATTCTAGCTGGCCCGGCCAATCCGGCTGTTTAAGCGGCCCTTGTGATATGTCCAATACTGACTACAGTGCCCCCCTATAGTCACACAATGCTCGTTGTTTCAAGATGTTTCAAGTTTCCTTCTCCGCCTTCCAACACTTCATGCTCCTTCTTCAGCACCACCAGCGCGCGGCGGAGGCGGACCTTCTGCTCTGTGGCGCTTTCGGCCTTTAAGGCTCGCAACTCGTGGAGCTGTTGCAACTCCAGGTGCTCCTCCTCCTGCACAGCGCCTCAGACTGGGGTGGGAAACCACTGGGCACCGCGCCGTAGACTGGGAGAAGACGGGTCACTTAAGGTCCAAGTGGTGCTGTTCCAATGGCTTTGTTGCAGGAAGTGCTTGCGTCGAATCAACTTTGGTCGTTGGTGAAAAACTATATGAACATATTAAGAATATGATGGCATCATCAATGGGTGGCACTGACTGACGCCGGACTGACACACGAGTCGTTCCACCCTTGAGGCTTGTTCTCTTCGACTTGGAGAGGAGTTGGCACACCCCAAAGTCCATCCAACATGCATCCCAAGGGGGTTCCCAGGCATTGATTCGATCCACCGATCCACCTTCCAAAGTCTCCACATTCTCCAACTGCTGCGCCAACGTGGCCCGCAGCTCACTGGCTGCCGAGTCCAGTTGCTCAGCCTGCTCACGCGAGGTGTCCTGGCCAACAGCGAGTGGAAGGAACGACCCAACGACGGACCCTGGGCATGTATACTGTAGCCGCGAGAAGTCAAACATCAAATAAACAAACCCATGTAGAGCATTTTGGAGTCAAACTGTTGTTATTGAACATTCTACTACAGAAAGGCCAGGAGTCAAACTATTGTTTTGGAGCCTCATGCCTCCTTGAAATGCCCCAAAAGCGCACAAATTGAAACCTTCTCGGCCTCCACTGCCTGGACGGTGAAGGCGCCCGGCTGGAACTTCTCTCGCGCCTTCTCTGAGAAATGACACCACAGGGTGGCCAAGGCGGCTCGCTGCGCTTGAGCTTCAAAGACTTGGGCCTCCTTCGATTGGAGTTGGTCGAAAGTGATGGTGGCGTCAGCCTCCCTTGAGACCTCGGGTGGAGCGACAGGGAGAGAGTTTACGACCCCAAACGACTGAGCGACAGGGAGGGATGGATGAGGCGACCGTGTTGGAGCAACAGGTTCCATGTGTTTCTGTTGGAAAGACTTGGACCCTTCCGTCACCAACCACGGCGCCACGGTCTGGAAGCAGAACATGCCAGCATGGCGGTGAGGCCACCACCATTCACATCATGGTTCATTCAATTCGTTCTACATCGTGTTTCTATGATCCGTTCTATATGAAAGGGATCACATCATAGTTCATTCACATCATCGTTCTACATGTGTTTCTTCGTTGATCCCTTTCATGATCCATCTTTCCATCGCCCGTGGAGGCGCTCAGTCTACACAGGTCTACATCCAGGCATGCCTTGCGATGCTTGTGTCCCCGCCTCCGCTGCCAGGAGTGCCAACTCCTTCTGGAGGTCCTGTGGAGTGCCACACAGCGTGTCGCCGTACGGCCGTACGGCCCAAATGCTACAGCCAAACACGGCGATCGAATGGGACTTGCATGGGATTTACAGCGGTTTCAGAGGTTCGATGGCACAATCACCCAAGAGGTGGTGAACATATGGACATCTAAAGGACATGTAGGGATGCCAGTGCCATCTACTCTGAAACCATTGACCCCCTGAAATCAACCACCCCCAATGTATATAATACTATATATTATGCCATTCCCATGTGCCGTGTCTGGGTCATGGCCATGCTAGGAAGTGTACGAACCTCAGATCGTACCGGTGACGTAACTGCCCCGCTTAGAGCGAGAGATATGACACCCAAGCATCCCCAAGCGCGATGGTTGGGATGAGTGCGTCAACGGGAACCCCCCAACACAAGCATGACACGGAGAACATGAGTTGCATTGATTGGCCAATTACGCAAGGCTTGGTAAAAGCACTGATGAGTCTTACATGAGTTTTACTTTGGTTGATCCATGCAAGTGTTTACTTGGTTCATCTTGGTCCCTCACCCTGCTGTTTCCCATCTGGGCCCCCCGAAAAAGCGTCACACCACGCCGTCCTGTTCCTGGCGTCGCACCTTCACCCGCAAGGCTGCCACCGTCCGCGCCGCCCGTCCGGCGTCGCCCGCGTCGCCCGCGTTGCCCGCGTCGCCCGCGTCGGGCGAATGCTCCGGGATATCGCCTCGAGGAAGGGACTGGGACGCATGGGCGAGGCATGGTGGGCAAAGACCCCCTTAGTTTAAGACAACCAAACGCATACAGCATATTGTTAGTACCCTAGAAGTCCAAAGACTATATTTTGACCGGCTGAAGTAAAGGAAGTTCCCTTTCAGGTCCCCTAAAGACCATTCTTTTTATAGTCTTTGACTCCCAGGGGGTATATATATACCTTGAGTCTCCAATGACCCTTTTAAATTTGCCTTTCCAAGAAAAAAATGTTTTTGAAAGAAAGCACTCTTTTTTGCATATGTCACGAAATGTTCCTTTTTTGTTTGTGCCCTGTCAGATCGTCCTTAGACAGTGTCCTGAGACCTTTTTTCGGCGTCCAAAACGCGTCTTTAAGCCTCCGCACCGGACGCGTCCGGATGAAGATTCACTCGGTACCTTTTTTGGAGTCCTCATCTCTGAAAACGCGTTTTTCGATCAACAATGCAAAAATATTAGACCCAAAACAAAAACGCAGAAAAAAACAGATCTATATATTACATATTCTATAAAATATACCGTAATACAAGTTTTTTTTTTGTGTTTCTTTATATGCCTTATGCCAGGTGGTTTGTGATTTGTAGTTTTCTTTCCAACCTTCAACAGCAGTGCCGCGACGACATGGAGTTTTTCGTCATTGGACGTCTTTCTGAATCGAACTGCCAAAAGGAAGTGTGCTCAACCCCTTATGGTGACTCTGTGTGCGGTGTGTTCTTAAGTCTTCCGGCTGACTCTTCACCAACGCTGGGAAGGCTCATGTTTGGGAATGCAAGCAACTTGATCCACGGCCATTCTGCCCCTTACTCCTCGAATCAAGCAGCTCAAAGAGGAGTTGAAAAGCCTCTCTGGCCAGCTGTAATCCTTCGGCAGCGCGGAAACGCCCCGCTCAACTGCTGCTAGCTGAAGCTCCTGCAGTTGTGAGATTGGAGCAACTAGTTCTGTCTGTAGCTGTCGAATTTTGTTGATGCATACTCGGACGACCCCTGCCGAATGGGCTGAACAATCATAAAAATCATGCTCAAAGTCGACCTGGGGGGGAACTTGACCTGGTTGCATGTTATTCTGAGACAAGCTAACCTTCTTTCGGCCAAGATGGGCCAAGGCACCTCTGCTTGCATGGGACTGTGCAAGGGACTGTGCATGGAAGTAGGGTCTGTGATCCACTGGGATTTCTCTTGCAGAAAGGTGGTGATTCACTCACACTGACTGCCTAACAAACCTATATAAAAGAACACTCCCTACCAGTCCAGTCAAACCCAGGGATGAAGTATAGGAGCCGGTGACACGGGCCTACACAACTCTAATTGTGTTATCCAACTAAGGTGCGAACTATGTAACTGAAGCGGAAACTTCACAATCAAGTGTGATGTTGTTGGTCAGGTGATGCTGAAACCTGGGCCTTGACAGTTAAGCAATGTTTCCGTATGACCAGCCAGGTCCAGTAAAGTGAGATCCTTGACCTGTAGGGACTTGTTGCCACACTCATTTTCTGCCAACTCCTCTAGGCGCTGCAGGAGTTGCCGTCGTTCCTGGAGTGGCCGTCATAAGGCTGCTCAGGTGTCACAAGGCTGCCAAGAACAAGGTCACAACTGATCCAAAGCCGAGGATTTGGCAGAATCGCCGATCCAATTTGGAAGTTTTGGGTGATTCAATCAAAAGAGAATGACTCATGACCGACCATCTCCCATCTGCCTGTCCTACTGTGTTTGCAAGGCGCCACATTTTGGATCAACTGCCCAGACCATCAAACAAGTCTCAAAGGTTTAACATAGTTTAACATAGTTTAATTACGACATCGACGACATCCACACCTGGACTTGCAAGGCCAGGGCCCCTCATTTTGCCAACCCCTTTCACCCCCGCCCCACGTCCTCCTCCGTTTCCTGCGCCGCCCGGCGCTGCTCCTCCCCCACGCGCGGAGCTGCTGCTCCCCCCCGCGCGTGGGTCCGGAGCTCGTCATGCACCGCCAGGCGTCGTTCTAGGTCGGCGCCGCGGTCTTCGTGAGAAGCCAGGCACCTGCGCTCGGAGGGTGCAGGGTCTTGGTCCGGTGGCGGGTCGTTTTGGGAGTGGAGATTCTGTGTTGTTCTTAGTTGGGGAAGGTCTGAGACATGATGTAGATTGATGTCAATGTAGATTGATGTTAGCAATGTATGCTATCTTCATGGCATTGTTCGAGAAAGTGGATGTTGCCGCAGTTCTCCTAAAAGTACTGGGACTTAGTAACCTGGCCGCCTGACCCCCTCAATTTCTGTCGAAAATAAAGGTGAACATGGGTGAACCAAACTTTCTACCTATATAGTTATCCACTGACTAGGTAGGCAATGCAACCGGTAGCATAAGGCACACACTCCCCGGAATAGCATGGACGTGGAGAACACACCACCTCTTTGGTCTTCGGATTCCATGATCATCTGAACTCAGGGGTCATGCCATCCAATTCCATGGTTTATTCATGTTTATTCAATCCAAGAAGGCTCGCTTGACCCTTGGACCCAGCGTTTCGGACCCATCATTCCCATCCATGGCCCTCCCCTTCCGCCATCCGTGCCCCAAAGGGTGTCATCCCTGCCCAGCCATGGCCCACCTCTTAAGCTCTTCAATCCTGAGCCTGGGATTTTCAATGCACCCTCGTCCATCCGCGGATCGGACCCGGTGCATGGGACAGAACCTGCAGCTTCAGCTGCATGGTCTCAGGTGCTTCAGGTGCTTCAGGTGTCCAAAGATTCACCAGGATTCTGAACCTTGGGACCTTGAGGTTGGTCATATCGCATGTCTTCAACTCACAGTCTCACAGCTTGAAACGACTAGGACTCCAAGACTCCAAACGACTCGGAGTCTTGGAGTCGACCACAAAAGCCAGCAGAAAGGACGACTAGTTTTGATGCGAACGGTCGTTCCTGGAACTTCCAACCAATTGCAGGCCACATCAGCATGGGCAGGACATCGCAGCACATCAACGTGATTCCCCAAACACCCGAATCTTCCGGCTGAACGAAGTGTGGATTCATCAAGTCCGTCCGGTTCAACTTGGAGTGTTCAGCCTCGCCTCTCTTTTTGGGGGGGAGGGAGTGAAGTAAGGAGGGATGATTCATGGGGCTTGCCTGGCTTGCCTTGGCCTCTTCCTTCCAAGCAGCAGTTCCTGCTCTTCTTTCCGCACCTCGAAGTCCGCCTCTTTGATACCCCATGGATCTGCCATCTCCGCGACGTGGGTGCGCGTCTCACGCGCGTCGGGATGGCATATGATGGCCGAGACGGACATGTCCCACTTGGGGTGAAGTTGTTGTCTTCCTTTCTTTGTGGTGATCTGGGAACATCTTCACCAAACACACCATTAAAGGTTTCTCCGTCTTTGTCTGCTTAAGGCTTAAACTTCCGTCGTGCTTCAGTATTTAGCTTGAAATGTGTTAGCATGAAGTGCACGCTGTCTCAGGGTGCAAAGTCACTTTGGACACTTGCGGTGTTGACTGGTAAATCTGCATTCATGCCAGCACAAGACCAGGTATCTCAGCAGTTTAAGGCGCTTCATTATATTGGTGGTTAGAAAGAGGTTCAGCTGGCATTCTTGGAAGTGCCCCACCTCCAACGTGATCCTATTTGGGAGGGATTGCAAAGATTTGTAACTTCGGCTTGATGTGGCCAAACCCTGACTGCTCCTCCACCACCAATCGACTACATCTAAAACCACCAAACTGGGAATATCCCACGATTTGTGTGGATTTGCGTGGTCTGAGACGCCTCGCCAACCTCACCTCTCCCCCAAAACCCTCCAAGACTGGCAGGGCCTTCCTGGAACCGGCTCCACACGACGCGACTGACACCTTTTTCATCCATCCCACAGGATGGCGAAGGGGTAGCCGAAACCTCAAAAAGCGGGTGTGAGGGCTGTGAAGGATGATCTGCTTGGTGGTTGAAGCACCTAGGAGTAGCTTGAATCATTAAAGCCAACGGAACCTCCCCACCCAGGGATCAACATGGATCAACACTACAAGCGTCTATGTATAAAGCATGCCAATGCCATATGCCCAGTCCATGTGGATACCTCAACATGACAGCTCAGTCAGTGGATCGATCCCCCAACCCAACATCTCCCAGCCAAAAATCGTCCAACCCCCACCACATCTCCCAGCACATCCCTCGTCAATGCCGAGCTACCCACAGAAAGACATTCCAGCTTGCGCTCAAATGCTGTTGGGTTCCCCACTCCGCGCTGCGGGGAGTTCGGAGCTCGTCACTAGATAGCTCGACAGGGCAGACTCCTTCGGTGGTGGATTGATTCAAGGAATGAGGACAGCCGGTCTGCTGCAGCTGTACACCGATCTGCCCCAAATGTGGAAAATGCGACGTCCCAACGGGCCCAGATCTGAAGAACCGCAGCCGCGTGAAAAGCAGCGTTTGGTGAAGCGCATGGCACGAAGCGCATCCAAACAGTGTGCTCACTAACGGGGCGCTCTGCGCATGCAAACACAGGCCGAGGCTTGGAATGATGCTGTCAATTGGCGTCACACATCATCTGGGGCACATGGGAAGAGTGGTACCAAACTTTGTTGGGTCTATCCATGCCTATGCAAACCATGTTGATGACATCAAACCCGCTCGCGGTTTCACGAAAACTGGTGATGGGGCCACTTGCGCGATGCGACTGTCGCAGCCCCAAAACAACACCGACTGCAGGAATCGCTCCCAACGGCTTCAAAAGCTCACTCTGCCTGCCGACCGACTGACGGAAATAGAGCTCGACAATCGCCTTGTAAACATCCTTACACCAAAACCCACCAATCTTTTAAAGCAACACCACGCGGTAAGCCCAAGTTCGTCTACTTCAACCAAAAGCATCCCAAAGCCACATGCCTCAAAGCCACATGCCTCGACTTGTGTAACATGGTGCAGCTCGGAATGGTCAGAACCCCACCTCACACACATGGCTCTGCAGCCTCTGCTCGATTGCAACTATACATTGCCGTCATTCAGATTCAAGAGCCGCATCATGACCTCACTGTATTCGGTTTGGAACTGCTGGCTACTGGTGCGTTGGAGTTCGGAGCGAGTTCACACCTAAGGCCCTACATGGCCCTACCTTAAGGCCATTTAAGGCCCCTCCGGGCATGTCAAACGTCACCCAACGTCCGCCGTCCGCGTGACGTTTGACGTGCCCGGTTGCTTCATGGTGCCTCATCCACCTCGTCCATACGGAAGCAAAGCAGTTCATCCTGTGACATGATGAAGCCTTCAAGCGCATGCATGCTGCCCGACCCCCAAAAGAGTCAGGCGATCAAGGCAGGGAGTGTGGTAAGACCTGCGAAAACGGAGAACTGTGGCTGCACAGTTGAGCACCCCTCACCGTATGCTTCGCGCGATTTAGCAAGGGCTAGCGATGCTCGCGATCTGACGGACCACGAAGCGGGAACGAAGGAATTGGTGCCGAGTGAAGGTCTCAAGAACATGTTGGCCGCCAACTTGCAAGAAGTTCCAGAATGTTTGTACTGTTAAAGGATCTCCCAAAGGGATATGAAAGGTAAACTGGATTCTGAGCTCATTGATTCATTAGAGCTCTTGATTTACGTCTTGAGAACATAATATATCCAACAAACAATTGCATGGGGTTGTTAAAGCGGCCACACTGCTGGCTGAGGTATCTTTCTTGTATGACTTGCGAATGCTGTTAAAAGCAGGACAGTAGTCCTTTAGGACATTCTGACCAAATTAGTTCGGATATAGTAGTTGCCGGGATGGCCATTGGCCAACTTTCTTGCGCTTCAGATTTTGGGAACTACTAATCGAGACGGTCGAGAGCGTAAGTATTCAAAGATAAGGTCACGTCCTTCTGTGTCTTCTAAACACTGGCCAGCAACATTTCTCTGCGACCTGTGAGCGGTGGCCGTTTTGGGCGATTGTCTCTGATCCAAACTGTGGCCAAAAGCATGCCTAAAAAGACGTTTCCCAAAGGATTCAGGCAAATCGACACCCTGTAGATTAGGATGAAAACAACCAGAGCGAGAGAAAGAACCCGAACCTTCGACTCTCCTAGTTCGGTACCCGTGACGGGTCCTTACGGTCACTGGCGACCTCTGCCTCAGCACCCGCTTCCGCTTCGGCACCAAACGAAGGCGAACCGGCAGCGAACAGTTGGTACGTCTCAAACGGCAGCGGGGTGCTGTCCTGCTTCGATTCCGGATGCGAGTGGACAATGAGATCGGAAGCTGCTCATGCGGTGAATCACGGGCGCGGCATCGGCGCACATCTGCGGACGTGTGTGATGTGTCGATGGAACCAGGAAAGCCAGAGTGAGAACGTGAGAACTACTTCCCCCTGTGCTTCTCCTCTCAATCTATGACATGCAGGTGGTAAATATTGTAATAACTTGTTGCTATTAAAAGTAAGAGCATGTCCAGCTGAGACCTTCCATCATGGGATTTGGCTCTCATCGAAAGGAGAAGCCTCCACGCGAACATTGGTCTCAAGACGGTCTGGCTCGGGCATCGCTTGGCACATCGGCGTGACTTGCCGAGTCGCGGTAGCAGGACTCCGTGGGCGCCGCGTCTGCTTTCATCCGCGGTAGCAATCAACTGGACTTACAGCACCCGCCATAACGTTCGCAACATCAGGGTATGGTCGACTGGGAGGCCGAAGGCAACTGTAGAACTCAAACCTACTCGTACTTGAACTGGAGCTTTAGGGATCGAAAGCGAGAGATTGTGTGAACATTTAATTTCTCCGTTGGATGAGTCATGATGAGCTGCGTTTTCGCTCATGTGAAGCAGTGCTTGCCCTTGGTTGAAGAAAGGTTCTGTGCAGCAACTACTGGCTCTGCGATCTTCATCTCAAATCATCTCATGAGGTCTTCATTCGATTACAGTACTTTTCCTGAATTCGGACCTGTTTTTCAACAAAATGACCTGCTGGCGTGCCCATTTTTCTCAGAGATCAGGATGTGAAGCATCACCTCAACACATCTCAAAACTATTTCTGAATCATCAGGTGTGTGGCAGGGATGATTGGGGAAGATCTCCAAGTTCATGGCATGCAAAGACAGCCCGGCAGCTGGCAAGTTTCTGGATGCTCCTGGAGGCACCCTTCTTCCATGACAGGCAGCAATACCTGCGTGGGCAACTGCAAAGTATTATACAGCCATCATGTGAGCACTTCCGAGCGCAACTAACCTCTCTTCTCTTGGAATATGGCTGTTGCACCTGCGGAGTGTAGCAGTGTAGCATCCAAAGTTTGTCGAAGCACAGAACTTCTCATAAATCCTGGCTTCCTTTCGACCGGACCGATGTTGCTAGTCTCACAAGCTGCCGCTGGCGCCTGGCGCCACAATTGAGTCAGCACTGCCTTTGTGTTGGGCGATGTGGCAGCAATGGAGTCAGAAACGGTGCGACTGCTTTGGAATTGCAGCATGCAAGAAAACCACACTCACAAAGGTACCTTACCTTCATGACAAACGAGAGGTGTACGAGTGAAAAAATCTCCGTTCACTAGTGTGGAAACAACACTTATAAACAGTAATTCCCGTGAAAGGCTTGCCGCTCTTGCTTGTAACAACTCAGGGTGTCCCCGAACTCAGTGTGTCTCCGCAATCGTTCGCTGACCAAGGGCGGCATTCTCTCGTCAACCGGGATGCCCTCATTGGGAATTGTACTACTTGACTGGCGGCCACTGCAACTCTTGAAAGGGGTGTGTGAAGGATTGGAAGATGACATCTTTGCAGTTGCACCAATTGCATTGACCGGCCTGCAACTCACTCACACCTGCTGCGAAGCAGCTTTTGGAGGGTGCCCTATTTCTAGTGCTCAAGACTAAGTCCCTCCTTTTATCCAATGCTGCGCGAAACGAACTAAGCATCTTTCACACTACCACTAGGGGCCCCATAAGTTTGGACTGGCTGTGGAAGGATGGCCCCTGCAAGGGTCTTTGACCATCGGCCTTGGGAACACTGAGAGCAGCATGAAGAAAGCGCGCAAGCTGTCACCAGCGCTGCCAGTCCCGGAGAAATGCATGTCCTTCAAGTTTGGAAGTTGGCGTTTCCAGCCACATGTTCCTCCAAAAGACTTGCCCATCATGTTCAGGCCACACACAAGGACATTGTATAAAATCCATAGAATCAAGAAGAACGTGTGTCTTTCTCACTAGCCACAGCCTCTCATCCGGGTGTCACTAACACAAGCATGAGAGCCGACCTCTTTCTGACCAAGACATCTAAATGTGACGTGATCTTCTTATTTCCAAATCTTTGCCTGGCATTGGCATCCAACTATTGTTCCT